CCTCGACGTGTGGCTATGTTCCCCGTTTGTGACCACAGCGGGGAGGCCTCTGGCGTACTTCCTGATCTTGTAGAAGAGCCCAAAAGTGACACACAGCGGCATCAAGATAACATTGGTAACACAAAGGACACCAAACCACCAGTTTCTGCTAGTGTAAGTTGGGAACAGTCTGAGAAGCCGTTCGTCCCAAACAAAATAGTCATTCGTTGTGTAGTGAAGGAAAGGTAAAACAAGGTTGAACAACCATGAAAACAGGATGATTTTTGCCAGTTTGCGCCACGTCATATCAAACCGATATGTCAGGTGTCCACATGTAGCAAGGTAAAGATTCCAACCGAATGCCATTATACTGTAAGCGACGATGCCATGAAAAGCTATCCCAAGAGTCGTCAGAATCCGGATAAAGTCCGGCGATATGATCATGGCTTTCAACGGTACATGAATATATATTAAAATAGTTATCTCTAAACAGATATCCGCCACCGCCTGACTTGTGAGCAGTTTTCCAGAATATCCCTGCAGAGATTTAGTTTTCGTGGTTGTAGCAATGATGACCCCGTTGCACATTATACTCCAAAAGTTGCAGGAAAGCGTTAGAGATGCAATGGGTAAAGAATGTGACTTGTAGGTGTCATTTTCAGCCATGTTGTATTCGTAATATCCACTGTACAGTGTCCTATGATATCAAATGTGACGCTCAGTATACAGTTCTCCCCCTTCACAAACTCTCGACTGAAAGAGTGTGGAATATATATTCTCACATGGACCAGTCAATATATCTTGAGGGTGGAGGTGGGTACATGTGAGAAATAATCTGAATTCATGGATCCCAGACGTGATGGGGTTCTTATACTTATGACCGGTAAATTTACGCAATGTGTTGAACGCATTTCGAAAGAAATACTTTGTCCAAAGAGAAATTCAAGATACCCCCGTTAACCTAAAATGGTTTGTCCCTGATAGGAATTGTAACTTATTATTCGTCTTTCCATTGACAATACATTTGAGCTGAGGCGAAGATAGTTAATGCTAATGATGTCAATATTGCTTCATAATGGGCATGAAAACCAGCTGACGATCTGATGCATTATAGGATCAAGTGACTAATGATGTTATTGAAATGTACACGGTAGCCTTGGGTTAAAAACTCCATAAAGCATGAACATCAACGGTTAAGCTGGATGTATACATGGCAATGTGATCTATGAGGTATTGGCACATGGAAATAATATGATCTTATCTGCTGGGGAGTAGGAGATCTAACGGGTTCTAAAGGTTGGTGTGGTGAGATGGTGGCGCACAAGCTTGTTAAAGAAGTCGGGGGTCAAATTCGAAATTTGCATTTTGCAGCCAACGTCACTAATATCTGGTCAAACCACCTCTGTTCGCCAGAAATACACGAATTCTTCGAGGCATGCTTCAGATACGTCGACCAATGTCAGCTTGACTTATGCTGTTCCAATCATCAGTGAGAGCAACAGCGAGTTCTTTGAGCGTGGTAGATGGATTTTGACGTTGGCGTACACGTCCAGTGACGTTAGGACTGAGTGCTGACCATGGCATGACATGGATGTTTTGCTGTTGGAAGAATTAGGTCACAATCCCGGCACAATGAGCACATGCATTATCATTTTGAAAGAGGAAACGTTGCCCAGTAGGTTGTGCAAATGGCACCACGAACGGTGCACTGATGTTGTCCCGATGGTATTGACCTGTGAATCTGCCCTGCATAAAATGGAGCGCAGATCGGCCAGTCATTGTGATACCACACCACTGACACCTCTCGTACAGCTTCACAAAGATGGCGGCTGCCATAGGCGACGACCTACTCGATCATTTAACGGAAACATCAGCGATTTCATCCCTGACACACATAAAAACATAGGCAATCGTTGCGGGGTTTAAAAGATGAAAAATATATATTCGCGTCAAGTAGGACAGGCAGCGGTAAATCACCAACATTCGAAGGTATACCAGTCGTGGATCTTGCTTTTGTGAAACGTTCTCTGATTGGACTATCGTTATGTACGGTAGTCCAATCATATTTAGCACAAGAGAGTGGGCTTCACATGGAAAGGGCGGAAACAAGACTTTGACGAGTGGACGCTCTTGCCTCGGGTAGATGAATTGGTCTTGCGCAATCAAGCGAAATACATCAGGTGTAAAAAACGTGCTTGATTTACAATGTAAACAAAGCAGAATTAAGGTTTCACACTGAAAAACATTTTCGAATTTTTGTTTGTTTGATTAACGCCGCACTCAACAATATTCCAGGTGTATGACGGCGGTTTGTAAATAATCATGTCTCGACCAGACAATTAAGTGATTGACATCAAGAGAAACGATCCACGCAATTGGGATACGGTGACATGCATCAATCAAGTCAGCGAGCCTGACCACCCGATCCCCGTTTGTCAAGGAAAGTCGTCTTTTACGGCAAGCATGGGTTCTGAAGACCTATTCTAACCCGGATCTTCTCGGTTCGCAGTTTCTAATGTTTTGACAGATCCGTTTTACTATTTGTTGCATATGTTGGGATAATTATCGTAGCCTGAATAAGAGAAGCCAAAGTAGATACAAAACAGTGATTTAGTAAATATAAACAGGTTTTATTAGGCGTAAAATGCACTGACATTTATTTCGCGAAAAGGGTAAGCATGTCCTGCTTTACCAGTAGCTCCCGCCATTCACACATTTTGCAAAAAAGTAAGTATTTATTTCTTGTCAAACGCCTCATAGCATGTACTCCTGCCATACGACGGGGGCCTGTGAACAATCGAGTATCGACCAGACAGTCTAGTGACAAGAAAGGGCGTCTACTGTTATTGTTGGAATTAAACACCATATGTTAACTTTGGATGACCTTTTGCTGCATGCGAATGCAGAGATTTTTGTGTTTTACAAGGAAAAGGAAACACGTAAATATTTTTGTTTTGCACCACGAGAGCAGTTTTTATATGTTGGCTCTAGCCTTTTTGTTTGCGTTTGTACCATTCAACGGCGGCGGTATTTATCTGCATTTTCGTCGCAGTCTGTTGGTTACAATGAAACACAAAAAACGAGTAACAAAGGATGACGATTGATTCAGATTCACATTACATAACTCATTAATGTGTATACGATCTCTGTATCAACGAAAGTCCTCCTCTGAACATCCCGTAAACCACTGTCAGTGAACACAACATTTTGTGAAAGATCACCGGAAGTGATGTCATACGTCAACATTGCTGTACATACTTGGTATTTTCTTTGAGATAAAGATAAAATAAGATGCAATGTACACATAATCAATCATGTTTACATTTTCAATCATGATATTGAATTCGCATTTCTTAACAAATATATTTTCACGGAATACGTTACACAACATGTGTACATGTGTAAACGTGTTGTTCAACGTCATAATTATTATAGGCTAATAATTATTATAGGAGTTAACTTTTTGTTCTTATAAGAAGTTGATAAACATCGCGTGATAGTATATTTCTTACCTTAAAAAATGGTTCTCGTTTATTAACAAACTTTTTTGTATGATGTAATCAATTGTTGGACCATTTTGTTTAATCTGGAATTCACAGGATATTAAACTGGTTACTTGAATATTTTTGTGTGAAACGAATTGTTAAAAGAACCCTTGATTACTATTAAACCTGACAACGTCATATGAAAAGTACGTTTTGGCATTTCGTTACCTTACAATAAATGTGACCCGTGAAGATCCGGGGAGGAATAGATCTTCAGCAACCCATGCTTGCTGTAAAAGGCGACTATGCTTGTCGAGAGATCTAGAGGCGACTAACGGAATCGGGTGGTCAGGCTCGCTGACTTGGTTGATGCATGTCATCAATCCCAATTGCGTGGATCGATGTTCACGATGTCAATCACTGGATTGTCTGGTCCAGACTCGATTATCTACAGACCGCCGTCATAAAGCTGGAATATTGCTGAGTGCGGCGTAAAACAACAAACCAAATCATAAAAATACAATAAATGTATAATACTGAGGAGGCGGGGTGGCTGTTTGTACTGTTTGATGCCGATTTATAGTGCTAGCTCATTGAGATACCATGCCGCAGTTTAATATGAATACCCCACTCAAACACAGTATACTGACTGCAAGCCCACCAGTCCATGTTTTAGCCCCTTTATGCCGAGCGCCACACAGGGTAACAACAAGTACCATCCATAAACGTCTTTTGGTATCACGAGGTAAGAAGATCGAGTCATCGCTCTCCGGGTAGACGCTATATTCAAAGGACCATGAGACCCGTGAAGATACGAGTAGAGAATAGGTTTTCAGCAACCCATGCTTGCCGTGAGAGACGACTAACAGGATCGGGTAGTCAGGCTCGCTAGCTTGGTTGATGCATGTCATCGTATCCCAAATGCGTAGATGGATACTCATGATGTCAAACACTGGGTTGTCTGGTCCAGATTTCTTTTTACAGACCGTCGTCAAATAGCCGGAATATTACTGAGTGCGGCTTTTACCAACAAACAAAGAACCAAGCAAACTTAAAGCTTGAGGTGAAAATGATAAAACGGTGTAATACAAAAACATTATATCTGCTTCATTACACAATCATTGATATTAACCCTGGAAAAAACGTAAAACACCACCCCTTTGATCTTCCTATACCCCTAATGTCCATGTGTCTTTTGTAAAAATCTACATATTGCATTGCTATTATTTTGATAATTGTCTTCGACTCCGTCGATACCTACTGAGCCATTGTTACAAGCACAATGCATTTCTCTCGAGATGATTGCAAGCACTTAGTCACATCATATGATGCACTGAAGCAGTTGAACGGGTCGTCCGCTCTCCGGGCTGACGCTCTATCACTAGACCACGGAGACAGTGGTATAATATTGAGACAACTGCTACAACATTATGATGAAACACGTGCGTTTGATTTAATAAGTATATTTGTTTGTTAAGAAAATAAAATATTTTTTGTGTACTTGATTAATATACAATTTATGCCTATATAATTTCTTTCGTTTGAGGGACGAATTAGAACGAAATTATTTTCTCCTAACGTCGGAAAGCACAACAAAGGGAGGTAACCTGGTTTCGTAATGGGTATATAAGTAAAGGCGGGAAGTTGAAACTTCATTCTCAGGTGCGGTGCAGTCGGGCTGGCTATATTAAACATGGACGCTCACAAGCCCATATCGGAGAAGTTAGACGAGATTCTTCGCCAATTGGAAAGATCAAAAGCCGAAATAGCGCAATCAGTTGAAGATCGTTTACTTGGTTTTCGTGAAGAATTTGAGAAAACGACCAAAGAGATATCCAAGTTGAAAGCTGATAAGGAATTTGTGTGGAAACGAGAAGGTTGTAGAATACAACACTCATTCAATACTGAAACTTTGGACAATTTAAATCAGTTAAAGTTTGCCTTAGAATTTAAGAAATACGACTACGCGGCGGAGCTTGTTGAGACGGAAAAAACTCGGATCGAGCAGAGAAACAAACTTATTAAGATTGCCGATACGTCGGAGGGTGGATGGGAGACTGTAAAAAAATATGTTGCACAAGATGTGGCGTCCGACTCTGAAGACGACAAGAAAATTACAAGAGCAGAAAATAAAGCTGTCAAGAAAATCAAGTCCAAGATGGGGCGTTCTGCACGCAGTCCGTACTATAGACCACGTGGTGGTCGTGCTCCTAGTGCTACTGTCTCTTCTGCAGAGCCAGCGGCAGTCAACAGCTTCTCCATGTTCAATCAGCCCTTTCGGAGGAACTCATCAAGGGGAGCGTGCTTCTCATGTGGGGGATTTGGCCATTTCAGACGTCAGTGTCCGATGTCCGGAGAACAACAACCCGCTCAGACTACAGGACGAGGAGGAGGATCTGCCCATTAATAAAGAAACTGACTCACAAGTTAAGTATGACGTAGGTCATAGTGATAATCATATGTTACTGACTGATGATTATTTTGAATATGAACAGGGCCATGCAGAAATCATTGTGAAGGATAGGCTAAAACAAAACATTGCTTTTTGGCGTCGAATCGGAAGTTCAGACTACGTCACTGATATCATAGAAAATGGATACAAAATTCCTTTTTATTCAACACCACCCAATACGGTTTTAGGCAACAACAAGTCTGCTAGATTGCACGAAGAGTTTGTATCAGAAGCTGTGTCTCAATTACTCAAAAAAGGTTTAGTGGTGCAGTGTGATATAAAGCCTACATTTGTTAATCCTTTGTCAGTGTCAATCCAATCTTCAGGTAAGAAGAGACTGATCTTAGACTTGTCATGGGTCAACAAGCATGTATGGAAACAATCGGTGAAATATGAAGATTGGAGGACATCCATGATGTACATAAACAAAAATGACTGGCTTGTAAAGTTTGATATTCACTCGGCTTATCACCATATTGACATATTTCCTCTTCATACCCAATACTTAGGTTTCTCATGGGGGACTGGTAAAAAAATGACATATTACAAGTTTCTTGTTTTGCCATTCGGGCTTACATCGGCGCCTTATGTTTTCACCAAGGTGACCCGTCAGTTTGTAAAGTATTGGCGTTACAAAGGCTATAGAATTGTTACTTTTCTTGATGATGGTCTTTTGTCCAGTGACTCTATGGCTAATACTATGATTATTGGAAATGCTGTCAAGCAAGATCTCATAAAGTCCGGTTTTGTACCAAAAAGTGAAATTTTTTTGTGGGCTCCATGTCAGGTTATGGAATGGCTAGGCTTAATAATTGACACGAAGTGTATGAAACTATCAATCCCTCGTCGGAAGGTTGATAAGTTACATCAGAGTATCATCCCGTTATTGAAAGGTAGCGGTATTGTCCCGGTTAGAAAAGTGGCTTCAGTCGTGGGGCAGGTGATAAGCATGAGTTTGGTTGTAGGATCTGTCGCTCAGCTCATGACTAGGGCTTTGTCTCTGCAGACGGTGAGTATAACATCATGGAATGAGTTTGTTGTTTTGACACAGTACAGCAAACATCAACTCGAGTTTTGGTTACATGAGATAAATAAATATACAGAGAGAATATGGTGTGATCAGTCCATAGTAACGAGAGTGGTATACAGTGACGCCAGTAGTGTCGGCTACGGAGGGTATTGTGTACAGTTTGGTGAGGAACAGTCTCATGGGCAGTGGTCGGTGGAAGAAGCTGCGTTGAGTTCTACACACAGGGTATTAAAGGCAGTGTATATGGTTCTGCAGAGTTTTCTCCCTTTGCTGAAGTCACACAGAATCAATGGTTTTCTGATAATAAAAATGTTGAATCGATTGTAGCTAAAGGATCTATGAAATCTGGGCTGCAAAACATTGCTATGGACATTTCTAATCTTTGTCTCCAAGGTCAGATTCAGTTCGAAATGCAGTGGATACCCCGGTCAGAAAATGAGAGATCAGATTATCTTAGCAAGCTTGTGGACACGGACGATTGGGGAATCAGTGATTTTGTATATCAGCACATACAGAGTATGTGGGGTCCATATGATATAGATGTATTTGCCTCGTATCATAACAACAAGGTTGCTAGGTTTTATTCCAGATATAGGAATCCTGGATCATGTGGAGTGGATGCATTTACCATGAGTTGGTCTGAAGGCAACAATTGGATAGTGCCACCTGTTTATTTGGTATCTAGCTCATTACGGCATTTGAGAATGTGTCAAGGCAGGGCTACGTTGATAGTTCCTGTTTGGTATTCAGCTACTTTTTGGCCATTGTTATGTCCTAGGGGAGAGTTTGTTTCATAGGTGAAGGAAGTGGTTTATCTGCCTACTTACAAAGATGCATATGTCCCAAGCAGACAAAGCAATGGTCTGTTTGGTGTTTATGATTTAAATTTTAACATGATGGCGATACGGGTTCAGTTTTGAATTTCCTGTTACAGGTGTTTTTGATCATGTGTTTGGTGACGAGATAGCAGAGCTACCGCCGAGTGTGAAGGAATTAGCCAAAGCAATACCGGGACTGCTTAATCATGCCAGAGCGACTTCCACGTGCAGAAAGTACAAGTATGGTTTCCGTGCCTGTAGGGTTACCGTTATCTCCCTTACATTGTGCGCTTTATTTGCTGTCAGTTATACAGCGGTCGGGTTCTTTTTCGCCCGTGCAGTCAGCGTTTTATAGTATTCGACACTTTCATGTTATTGTTGGTTTGCCCACTCCCACGAACAACACGTTGGTGATAAATTTGTTGGAGGCAGCCAAAACGGAAGTTAGTTAAACCCGTTAAAAAGAAAGAGCCTATTACGGTTGAAGTAGTTGAAAGGATGTTTGATTGCAAAATGCAAAACCAAAATGTATATAATTTGAGAACTGTGTGTATGTGTTTGCTTGCATTCGCAGGTTTTATGCGGTCTGCTGAGTTGCTTAATATTAAGCATGGCGATTTGTTGTTTTTGGATTCTCATATGACTGTATTTATAGAAAGGTCCAAGACCGATGTATACAGAGATAGAGCTTGGTTGGTTATTGGTAGAACAGGGACAAAGATGTGTCCTGTGAAGTGTATGGAATGTTTCTTGGAAAAATCTGGATTAAAGGAAGAAACTAATTCAGAAACTTATCTTTTCAGAAATCTGTCCAAGACCAGTGATGGCTATATATTTAGAGCCGAAAACAAACCGATGTCTTATACTCGGTTGAGGGAATTATTTATTGAAGCCTTTAAGCCTTATGTACCTGCTATAAAATGCTACGGTTTGCATAGTTTGAGGTCAGGTGGAGCAACAGTGGCAGCCAATAGAGGCATCCCTGATAGAATGTTTAAACGACATGGTCGCTGGAGGAGCGAGAGTGCCAAAGATGGCTATGTTAAGGACAGCATCGAAAATAGATTAAAAGTGTCTCTTTCTTTGGGGCTTTGAATTGCCCGTTCTTTGTTTCCTCAGTCAGTGCACCGTACAGTATCCCAATATGTTGTAGTTGTGTATTTTGTTGTGTTAAGGGGGAGAAGGAGGAGAAATATAATTTCTTTCGTTTGAGGGGCGAATTAGAACGAAATTATTTTTTCCTAACGTCGGAAAGCACAACAAAGGGAGGTAACCTGGTTTCGTAATGGGTATATAAGTAAAGGCGGGAAGTTGAAACTTCATTCTCAGGTGCGGTGCAGTCGGGCTGGCTATATTAAACATGTTCGGTTATCTATGATGCCGATTGGAGTACACGTCGGTTGAATCAATATTTTTTATTATTTATGTGTGTAGTACCTGCGGCTGTCCATATGATGATCAGGATGTTATGCGTTGCTTGCAAGTTGTGCTGGCGAGCCATGATAATACGTCGTGAGATGGATCGGTATCCATAGTTGAAATCTCGAACACTCCAGTTGTGAGAGTATGGATTTGGGATATACTCTGATGAGTATGCGCTGACGAGCCATTAGAATACGTAATAAGGCGTCGATGCCTGTGTATATGTACACGTTGAAAATATGAAGCATCGAATCTATATTCATGTAAATTACGGTTGGTTGATGGTCATGATGCTGGTGATGTTCCTGATGCGGACGATGTTCATGATAATGTGAATACTTGTTGAAGAATAAACTGCGGTCAGTCAGTGCACCGTACAGTATCCGAATATGTTGTAGTTGTGTATTTTGTTGTGTTAAGGGGGAGAAGGAGGAGAAAACAAGTGCGTTTCTTGTCCATAGAATTAAAAGAAAAAATATTGTTACTTAAAAGTGAAAATCATTAATTTTATGTTGTGTCGAAAAAGCGTCAAATTCTGACACACAAATGTGTTTTTAATACTATGAACGCAAATTAGGTCAGATATATTAAGTAATACAGAAACGTCATTTTTTCTCTGATTTTGATAAAGACAAATACAAGCCATGACGCCAGTCAGAAAACGTGGTCAAATTTTATGTAATCCATAACGTTTGATGACATAATGGTACAACCTGAGGGCAATGTGGAAGTCAAACGCCAAGGGCGGAAGTCTCAGTCTTAGAATAGGCTCGCGATCCCATTTCGCTTTTACTTCAAAATCGATATTGTATGTCGGTTACTCGCGAGCAGAACAATACAAAACAAGGGACGGGGGGACACGGGTGTCCTAGTGGTCTACGGCGCCGCTGTGCAGAGTTTGGGCACACCAGAAACCTATAATTGTGGGTTCGAATCCCGGTTCGCGCCGATTATGGTTCCTGGAACTCCATATAACATGTACATTAGATTAATATTATCCATAAGGATAGAATGATCAGGTGTAATAACTTTCAGATATTAGTACATGCGCAGTTTAGTAATTCTCAATGCTGATTGGTCAATTGAGGTCATATGACGCCAGTGCAAAATACGATATAACACCATCCATTGTTCACGACGCCACAAACTGATCACAGAAGCGACTGATCGCATCATTGATTCATCTATTATATAAGATGGCAAAATGATGGCATGTTAAAATACACATCCTGGCCGCGATACAATTGCGGTAAATATGAATAGTATTACGTATTAGTGAAAGTATGTTAACCGTTTACTTTTCATTTTTAGGAGGATTATGTGTAGACCCGTAGACATTCATTCAGAAAAAAATCAGGAAGATAAGTATGAAACGAAAACCTCCTTAAATTCTTGACACCTTTAACAGTAAACGCCTGAACCTAGCATTTCAGTGTCCTCGTACATCATGACGAATAACGCAAAGAAATGTATATTGTTGGATGGTACAGGTACTTAAGATGACATACAATTACAGTGTTCGTTTCTCTGAATGTTTGAGGTGTGCCTTTGTTTTGGGCCCAGCATGCATTAATCGGCAGCGGGCTACCCTTTTCTATCTGGAAAATATATCACGTCAACGCCAGAGCATAACCAGTCTCAATTACCTGCTGAAACAGATTCCATTGAGCGTTAGAGGTAAAATA